CTAGAGCAGGTTTGTGGATACTGTGGACAGATTATATATTAGCTACAGGTGGGATATCTAGAGCAGGTTTGTGGATACTGTGGACAGATTATATATTAGCTACAGGTGGGATATCTAGAGCAGGTTTGTGGATACTGTGGACAGATTATATATTAGCTACAGGTGGGATATCTAGAGCAGGTTTGTGGATACTGTGGACAGATTATATATTAGCTACAGGTGGGATATCTAGAGCAGGTTTGTGGATACTGTGGACAGATTATATATTAGCTACAGGTGGGATATCTAGAGCAGGTTTGTGGATACTGTGGACAGATTATATATTAGCTACAGGTGGGATATCTAGAGCAGGTTTGTGGATACTGTGGACAGATTATATATTAGCTACAGGTGGGATATCTAGAGCAGGTTTGTGGATACTGTGGACAGATTATATATTAGCTACAGGTGGGATATCTAGAGCAGGTTTGTGGATACTGTGGACAGATTATATATTAGCTACAGGTGGGATATCTAGAGCAGGTTTGTGGATACTGTGGACAGATTATATATTAGCTACAGGTGGGATATCTAGAGCAGGTTTGTGGATACTGTGGACAGATTATATATTAGCTACAGGTGGGATATCTAGAGCAGGTTTGTGGATACTGTGGACAGATTATATATTAGCTACAGGTGGGATATCTAGAGCAGGTTTGTGGATACTGTGGACAGATTATATATTAGCTACAGGTGGGATATCTAGAGCAGGTTTGTGGATACTGTGGACAGATTATATATTAGCTACAGGTGGGATATCTAGAGCAGGTTTGTGGATACTGTGGACAGATTATATATTAGCTACAGGTGGGATATCTAGAGCAGGTTTGTGGATACTGTGGACAGATTATATATTAGCTACAGGTGGGATATCTAGAGCAGGTTTGTGGATACTGTGGACAGATTATATATTAGCTACAGGTGGGATATCTAGAGCAGGTTTGTGGATACTGTGGACAGATTATATATTAGCTACAGGTGGGATATCTAGAGCAGGTTTGTGGATACTGTGGACAGATTATATATTAGCTACAGGTGGGATATCTAGAGCAGGTTTGTGGATACTGTGGACAGATTATATATTAGCTACAGGTGGGATATCTAGAGCAGGTTTGTGGATACTGTGGACAGATTATATATTAGCTACAGGTGGGATATCTAGAGCAGGTTTGTGGATACTGTGGACAGATTATATATTAGCTACAGGTGGGATATCTAGAGCAGGTTTGTGGATACTGTGGACAGATTATATATTAGCTACAGGTGGGATATCTAGAGCAGGTTTGTGGATACTGTGGACAGATTATATATTAGCTACAGGTGGGATATCTAGAGCAGGTTTGTGGATACTGTGGACAGATTATATATTAGCTACAGGTGGGATATCTAGAGCAGGTTTGTGGATACTGTGGACAGATTATATATTAGCTACAGGTGGGATATCTAGAGCAGGTTTGTGGATACTGTGGACAGATTATATATTAGCTACAGGTGGGATATCTAGAGCAGGTTTGTGGATACTGTGGACAGATTATATATTAGCTACAGGTGGGATATCTAGAGCAGGTTTGTGGATACTGTGGACAGATTATATATTAGCTACAGGTGGGATATCTAGAGCAGGTTTGTGGATACTGTGGACAGATTATATATTAGCTACAGGTGGGATATCTAGAGCAGGTTTGTGGATACTGTGGACAGATTATATATTAGCTACAGGTGGGATATCTAGAGCAGGTTTGTGGATACTGTGGACAGATTATATATTAGCTACAGGTGGGATATCTAGAGCAGGTTTGTGGATACTGTGGACAGATTATATATTAGCTACAGGTGGGATATCTAGAGCAGGTTTGTGGATACTGTGGACAGATTATATATTAGCTACAGGTGGGATATCTAGAGCAGGTTTGTGGATACTGTGGACAGATTATATATTAGCTACAGGTTGGATATCTAGAGTAGGTTTGTGGATACTGTGGACAGATTATATATAAGCTACAGGTTGGATATCTAGAGTAGGTTTGTAGATACTGTGGACAGATTATATATTAGCTACAGGTCGGATATCTTGATCAGGTTTGTGGATACTGTGGTCATATTATATATTAGCTACAGGTGGGATATCTAGAGCAGGTTTGTGGATACTGTGTACAGATTATATATTAGCTACAGGTCAGATATCTAGATCAGGTTTGTGGATACTGTGGACAGATTATATATTTGCTACAGGTGGGATATCTAGAACAGGTTTGTCGTTACTGTGGACGGATTATATGTTAGCTCCAGGTGGGATATCTAGAGCAGATTTGTGGATACTGTGGACAGATTATATCTTAGCTACAGGTGGGATATCTATAGCAGGTTTGTGGATACTGTGTACAGATTATATATTTGCTACAGGTCGGATATCTAGAACAGGTTTGTCGTTACTGTGGACGGATTATATGTTAGCTCCAGGTGGGATATCTAGAGCAGATTTGTGGATACTGTGGACAGATTATGTATTAGCTACAGGTGGGATATATAGAGCAGGTTTGTGGATACTGTTGACAGATTATATATTAGCTACAGGTGGGATATCTAGAGCAGGTTTGTCGATACTGTGGACGGATTATATGTTAGCTACAGGTGGGATATCTAGAGCAGGTTTGACTACCCAATGGGTATGTTTTAGAGAGATGGTAGCTATAGATGGATGGTCTATGATGCAGGTTTTACCATGTTATATGGAAGAAGTAGATACAAGTATATCTAAGCTTTGGTTGCTTTCAGTTAGCATTCTTAGTCAATAGGCCAGGGATGTCCACTGGAAATACAAATTCCACAAAGCCTACTAGCACTTCATGTTGAATTTGTCAATTAGACAGAGTATTTTGCAACAGATCGGTGATTCTTGCCAAAGAATCCTACATGAAAGTGGTTTATTATTAAGATAGCTCTATGGTGTTTTTTTAAACTCAAAATAATTTTTAGGACATACATATGGTCTCCATTTTTGTGACTTTTTGATTTTTTTTGTCCTGGCTATAACTTCTGACTTGCTATAGATAACTCAAATAAATTCAAGGGATATATGTTGGTTATCAAGTCACTATGTCACATACCACTTTAGGGTCTGTATACCTAAGGTCAAGGTAACATTGAGTTCAAAGGTCAAATTCTTTGCCTGGGCCATAACTTACTGAAGATAAGCTCAATGAAATTGGTGGTATATATATGATTTATATCAGATGACAAGGTAGTGTTTTTCAAGCCACAGTTGGGTCAATACACCTAATGTCAAGGTCTTATTGAGGTCAAAGATCTAATTCGCTGTCCATGCAATAACTTCGGACTCGTTGAAGATAGCTCCATACAATTTATATCAGAGATATATGTAGGATGGCAAGGTGGTGTGCCACTAACACAATAGCTAACTGCTTTTGTGTCTGTACAACTTGGGTCAAGGTCACACTAACTTTAAGATCAAATTTGTTGTCTTAGCCATAAATTCTGACTCGCCTCATATATTCACATATTATTATTGAATGTAATCAGTTTTCTGAGGTAAGGACACAGTTATTCCAAGAAGATACTATAGTAGGGAAAGTTTTGTGGATTTAATTACATCATCTAATGTTACAATTGTAAGAAATCCAGCAATTTATGTTTTCAAGGCAAACGAGATCAGAAATAATATTCTTTTTAATAATTAACTATGGGCGACTGGGTATTTATTCTGTACGTGTTTCTGGCAACTTTATCCTAAATTCTGTATTTTTGTTACGCACATACTCAAATCGTTAAATATTTATTTGATTCACTGTGTAGCATTGGTTAATGGCATCGAGAGTTATCTCCCATTGATCACATTTGTAACACAGCGGTTTTTAGGTACAAACTTTTAACATTATTCAAACAATATGTACTCTCTCGATTGCTATGAAACATGAGGTAATGGATATCTGGTTGCCTTAATATGGGTAGTTTGAAAACAAGTCCTTGTACCTGTGGCTGTATTATACCAATTACAAATATATTTCTTTGTACATGTTCATGTTCCACGCCATTTTGTGGATTGTTATTTTGTAATGCACAAAGGCATTTTTGCCTATTGCTTAATAAAATATATATATACATATAGCTCAATGAAATTTAAGGGAGATATATAGGATGGCAAGGCATTGTGCACAACCACAATTGGGTCTGTATGCTCCAGGTTATGGTCACATTGAGTTCAGTAGTCTAAGATATTGTCTTTGCCGTAATTTCTGACTTGCTGAAGATTATAAGCTCGATGATTTTTAAGGGAGATATGTAGGGTGGAAAGGTGGTGTGTCACATACTACTTTGTTGTCTGTTAGCCAAAGATAATCAATCAGTGTTACTGATTTCTGGTTTTGAAAATGATATACAGTAGAGAAAGACAAAGATATCACTATCATGCACCAGAATATATGAATGTTTGTAAATGAAAACAAATCAGAAAGTTCTGATCTTATGTCAATAAACATGCATGGTAAGAAATATTAAATTTTGAACAGCAACAGCCATATAAGAAAAATGGGACAGATGTTTTTTTCCAAAAGAAAACATCATTTCCATGTAATACTCAATTATATGGCATGTGCACATGGCTGACAATTGTCATGACTGTAGTGCTGCATTTGAAATGTGATCACGGGAAAATTATTCAAGTTTATCCCAGTAACCGTTCATGATCGCTGGTGGCTGTTGATAACCTTTGGAGACAAACAGACCGTATTCAACCATCAAGCCAGATAGGTCCAGATGATACAGGCCATAAACCAGGACAGATAAATCACAGGGTAAAGTGCAGTGTTTGGAAAATAGGGGAAATGTTTGGATTGTCTTCTGTACACTACCACATGTTTGGTTAGTATGGGTCGTAGACATACAGGTGTGTCACTTTGTATCCATGTTACGCCTGTTTTTATTCGTTTGTTTGTATTCTACAGATGACCTTGATGATGTAAGGGTAGAAGTAAGGAATGGATCAGAGGATCAAGAGAAATCCTCCGAGGTCAGTCCTAACGGCACTGGGGTGGACAGGGATGACAGTGCAGACGAGGAGGACGCTGATACACAAGATAAAAGTGTACAGGTAAGGTTTTATGACAACAGGTATGAAACAATGATAAAACATGACATGGTCTCCATTTAGAGCTTTATATAGTTCTATAAGCAATTCTGGAGAATAATGTGTTTTTTTACAATTTACTTTTTATTTCAATTTTTAGTTTGTTTTAATGAATTTATCATTCAAAGTGCACGATTAAAATGTACGTAGGATGTACATTCTTGAATGTTGTCAATTTGTAGCATGTCAAATTAGATTAGATAGGTAGATTTTTTATCTCCTGTGGATGATAAGTATTCAGATAAATGTTGTACAAGTCTGTCATTCTCTTGCAATTGTGTGTCTCTTACATAAATATATAGATTTTGATGCACGTTATTTTGATTCAAGAGATGATGGTATATAAATGTCCTTCAGATTTCATGTCAGGATAGCATTCTTTATAAAATCTTTTATTTTTATGTATCATTAATTTAAGTATACATATAATACATTTCAAATTGATTCTCCCTTAGTTACTTACAAGATTGCATGACTTGTTATACAGAGTGTGTTATTTACACAATGACTTGTTATACAGAGTGTGTTATTTACACAATGACTTGTTATACAGAGTGTGTTATTTTCACAATGACTTGTTATACAGAGTGTAACACTATGGAATGCTATTAGCTGTGTCAGTGACATATTTCAGTGTTGTATGTTTAATTGTGACCAACAGAAAGTTTTCCAAGACCTAGATGTACAGGTAAAGCCAGTGCTTCAGAACTTGTGTGTTTTTATATCTTTTATATCTAAAGCTGCCTAGTCTCCTGTACTGACATGTACATATGCATGTCAAATCTGCAATCCAACAGGATACACAGTATTTGGTTTTCGTCAGCAAAAATAAGACATCTGAATTTTCATCAAGGATATTTTTCCGATTGTTTATATATATATAGGAAGTTTGTCATTGGCATTTTAATTTTCAAGTATATGACTCCTATAGTATATATGTAGAGTGAAGTTTGTTGTTGCATGCGCTAACATAGATCATGTTCTTTAGCTACAGAAATATAAAAAAAAATACACATATAACTTTAGTTTCGTCTACCAATGAGAAAATGTGATATCAGTATTGTACTTATCCTCCAATAATAATATAAGCCCACAGGACAAACACACGATCTCGGACTCTAAGAATGAGGACAGTCTTATTACAGGGCAATAAAATTGCTTTTGTTCGCATTTCTACAAAACTGCAAAATGTATATGAGAGGGCTTATTTACAGGCATGGGCTTATTGCTGGACAAACACAGTTCATGTATTATGATTTATGAGGTCAATAGTTATAAAGGAAAATTTACAAAAAAATATCTAATTCAGTTCTGTGTAAATTGACATTAAACATGAAATAATTGTCTGTGTTAAACCAATACTGTGTATCAACTAGGATCTCCATGGTTACTCAATATCTGAAAGTCTTTTGTTATGATTATACTGCGAGATGGTCTTTTTCCTTTATGCATGCTAGTCTGATTCTTCGTGTCTTTCTATAGGCGTCCACTGCTCCAGTAAGTCTGAATGTTTTATATAACTATAACCAGGCTGCATTACAATGCTTTAGGTGGTTAGGGGCTAGAACAATCCAGGTGCAAATTAAATGTGCTAATAAAATGTCAGTTCTAACCATAATATTTCAGTCATGGTCACCATATATGTCCAGGTTCCAAGATCATGAAACGGTCTTAAGTCTTAGAACACTCATAAATTCATCACCAAATATTTATGGAGACTTGTGGAAATAATTATAAAACCTACTTCGGTTTAGAAATAACAAATGACTTTGTAACCAAAATCAATCCCCATGTAGGGACCGGCGATACAACGCTGTTTTGAATACAAGGAATCATATCCTTTGTTGCCAGACAGATGTCAATTTCTCAGTCATAATCAGCTGCCATTTAGTCATAATGCTGCAAAAATGAAGACGTTAATGTCTATGAACAATGACATGAAACAACAACAAGATTGGTTCACGGTTACTTGATTATTTCTTAAATCAGTTACGCTTGGTCTAAAAAATACATTGATAATCCCACCATTTTGTCATAGGTGCAGGGGTGAGTCTAGTTAGGACATCTGGTACGAATTCTGGACCGGAGTTGTGGTACGGAAAGTGTTAATGACAACCAAAGTATGAATGTAAATACTGTACAAAAATAGCAGCTGATCACTCATTTGTAGACATGGTGCATTATGGGAAGGATTTAGCTGGCTGTCGTCATTGGTGTGATGATTAACATTATTAATAACATCCCATACTAAAGTATGTATAATCTAATCACATAAAAACTAGATGTTCCATGTGCTGTCATCATGTTATGAATGTTATGAGTCGATGTGTGTAGCTAGTGTATGTGCTTGTCCTTTCAAGAGATCCGTTGACGTGAAGGTAAGACAAAGTACACCGAGCGTTTCTGATAGAACTTCTATAGATGGCTTGGGAGTTTTGCTTTTGATACATTCAGAAACACCACTGATATTTTCTTGATGCACAGTAATTATATAAATCTACACCTGGACACATCAGACACACTGAACAAGGTGAAGATGTCTCCACTTATTAAAAACAAAACTGTGATTATTTCTATACTGATTGATGACATTGCAAGTATTTTTCAGCTTTCATCAAAGTTCATATCCTGAAGTGATTTTCTGGTGACTGAGAGTTCAAGCCTTGATAGGGTTTTCCTTGGTGTTCAGATAAACAAATTTTATACACAAAGTCAATGTGAAGGTCATTGGTATTTAACTATCGTCATCCATATGATCATGATTTAAAATACAGATACAAATAATACCTAGACTTTGTAATATCTACATAGAATTAGGTATAAAAAGCCACACAAGTCACAAGTAAGACTCCCTAAAAGACATCTAAATGAAGAAGATGTATGTGTAATTATCACTGCAGATTGGTGTGACGAGCCCGCACACTTCTATTAACAGATGACCTACTAATTATAATCTACTCTAATATGTAATAAGTACAGTGTAGTACTGTAGTTGTCTCGTGCCAGATTTTAAGGATCCCCGTACCACTGCCAACACTCATAAACATGTATTGGAAACTGCTTTTTTCCCCGACATGACTATATATATTTAGCTTTGATAAATCATTTCTGAAAAGAAAAACATATCTTGTGGGACTTTCATGAAAAAACAACAAAAATGAAATAAACAAATATAATCAACAACAGTGATCTGTGTGTAAAAATTGAGTAGTGCCCGACCAGGTTTGAACTCTGGACCTCAGATTGTTATACTGTCACTCTAACCAAATGAGCTACGTATACCTGATCAATGGAAGTACCCTGGCTTAATTGCGCTACAGTTATATCCAAAATAAAATTAAAGGGAGGTTACTGTATATACGAACGTTTCTGTGTTTTGCCTGCAGTCGGACAGGGATCCTTAAAGCAGTAACTGTTTTATGTCGTAAAGTTACGGTTTAGTCACATCCATTGATAAGTGAGACTGAGAACCACTATGAGCTCAAAAACAATAAATGTCAGTCATGTTAAATAATAATGTTGATTTAAATTTGTGTTAATACTTTATACATGTATCATGTTTACAGTGTTTAATGGTCAACCTTAAATATAGAAAGTCCGGACTGAAGGATTAAATGTAATGGTTGATTTTCCAGGTTGTTGTCAATATTTATGTTACCTGTATTCAGTAATATATCTGATGTAGGACAGTAATTATAACCATAAGTGTCAACTTCCTATACTCAAAAGGGCTGGTCTCCCTTTTGTTGGGACATTTTGAACCTTTTTGTAGCATAATTTCGGTAAATAATATAAAATATATTTGTGAATTTATATATAATACAGATAAGAAAACTTTCACTAATTAATGATAAAAGCTGGTATGAAAATATGCAAAAGATGGAAAGTGAGGGAGAAATTCTTCACAAAAGGATTACAAAATATTCTTTGAAGTTTTTAACATCTCTCAGATATCAAGTCTTCGACCTACCACAAAACATTATTAACCTCAGCTGAAATTTCCTTGATTTACAATGTTATTTATGATGTAGATGTAGTACATTTTTATATATGCTGAGCTAGTTACTACTATTTTATCAGATATGTCTAGCATAGTTGCCAATATTTCAAGTTTTTAAATTAAACTGCCACCATTTAACTTGTTCTCTAGCCTGAGTTGTATGAAATCAAGAGTCTCTCTTCAAAGAGGGACAACTCTGCGAGTATAGTTTAGAGGTGAACTTCAGTAGAGGGTTATATGTTTGGACAAGGAAAAAGTCTTGTGACAATAATGTGTGGTGGTGTTTAGTCGCTTTGATTTTCCATTCTTACCAAACACTGATCAAAATATTAATGCTTTCACTCATCAACCTCACCTTGTCTGTTCTCTACCACTGGTTGTAGACCAGTGGATCAGATCCTCAACCTCACCTTGTCTGTTCACTACCACTGGTTGTAGACCAGTGGGTCAGAATTGTTTCCTTTTCAGTGTAACATGTGTTCTAACAATTGATGTACATTGTTTTGTTTTGGAAATGCTGTTTTTTTTTACGTAAATGTACTTTTCACATTGGTTCTTATGGTTCTGTGATTTTCTGAATTACGCTTGACTATATCACTGATCATATTTGATCACCGTTACATTTCCTTGGATCAGATCACTTGTCTGCCTGATAAATCAACCTCTATGAAGAGCATCCATCAGGATCAAGTCTACCAATTTTAAAACAATCTATTAACTGTGTTCTTTATATATACATAGTGAGGTAATGTTCAAGTTCATTATTTGTTCAATGAAAACCTAATTAAAGACTTGCTTGTCCAATATTGTGATTGAATATCAGCACAAACTTCAAAATTATTGTTACTGTAATTTTTACCATGTTCTGTTTGCAGGCCATTAAGTTCATTTTGCAATTTCGTTAATTTCAGGGTCGAAAGCTGTTTTTTAAAGATGGCCACCGTCGTATTGACTACATCCTGGCATACACTGTGGAAGAGGATGGCAAGCCAGAAGATGTGGAGGAGGCTCGTCTGGCCCGGGAAGTGTTCGAGAGAAATCTTGTGGGCGAAGGGCTGCAGCTTGAGTATGATCAGGTAATAAAAGATAAAGTAGGTATGAAGAGTAAAGCGCCAAGTTGAAACTATTGAAGAATTTTCAAATTTGTTTTCAGGAAAAAATGTTATTTTTGTCATATAGATTGTTTGTAAGACATTTAGATTATCGTTTTGAATCTTTATATACCCGAGGCCAGATGCATCTTAAATTTGATTTTTTTCATATTAAGCTATGTGTCTTTCATGCTTAGATAATCAACACTAAATGCATATAATATTTACCAGTCCAGTACACTTCTTATTTTAAAGTTATAAAGTTACTAGGGCTTTTTAACGAACTTTTATCATAAGGTTTTGAATACAACCATACTGATGAAGTATGTGTGGTTTTAACATATTTTAAACTGACCGATGAAACATCATGTTATGTTTGTAATACAGAGGGAAGGTGAGGCTAAGTATGTGAAGGTTCACATACCCTGGGAGGTGCTGACCAGATATGCAGAGATCCTCAAGGTCAAAGTGCCGGTCAAGAAGGTTAATATATGTGTTTAACTCATGTATTCTTTTAATTGTTCAACTGTATATGTAAAATAAAGCTTTTCTCTCTGCCAAATCAAATAAGGTGAAACTCTAAAAGTGTAAATTAGTAGAAATGGTAAAGAGTATTTTTTCTATAGTTTCCTGTTACATATTGTGCATGTTCTATAAAATAATACATAAAAAAGTATTTAAAAAACCATAAAAAGACTACCTCCTCTTAATAAGATTCCCAACAAGTTAATCTAAAGGAACAGGTTAATTGGGATGGGGACTTGTAAACTACTGAATAATTATATTGTATACACAAATCCCTGGGAAGATGGCCCCCTCCTACTAAAATGTGCATGATGTATGTATAATTATACTAGTTTGGGACAGGAACATATCTACCACTACATATAGTATGGGCACTGCATGACCAGATCTCACTAATCACATTGGTGTACACGATAGGTATCCATGTATTTCTAAACATCAAATATTAGCACATTGAAAATATTCATATAATGATTGTATAGGAGCTTGATAAATTAAATGGAACAATTCATTCATAAAGAATTTAAACAAATTTTAGTTTCAAAAGTTGCTTCTGCAGTAAATCTTAGATAAATTGCTTTGGTGTGGATTCACACCTGGGGTCAGAAGTTTGCAGTTAGCTGATTTCAAATTGAGGCATAGTACATGTCCCATTATATTTCTGTCCACTTTGTCTTTAAATGGTTACACTTTATAAAATATGTTTTGTTAAATAATATTTTTAATGTGATGATAACAGTGCACAATGATATAAATGAATTAAATGATGAATTAATTAAACTTTGAATGTGATTTTCATTTGGTAAGATTTAAATATAAATATAAATATACACTGAGGTACACTTGCAATGGAATGGACAGAATTCATTATGGGGATGATTATATATCTTAAGGCCATTATATATGCTTTTAACTAATGATATAAGCTTATCACAATATGACATATTCATGTACTGGGCAATAGTGCTGTGTTTTGTAGCTATTCAGTAACTTGTTGTCTGGGTTTACGGCATAGTATACAACGGAGAGTGGTTCTAGGCATTAAACACTGGCAAAGATTTCACCAGAGTAGCTAAAAAACACAACACTAGAAAAGTATTATCAGTATTACATGTATTATTCTAACTATTCTAAAATAATTCAATAATCCCTTTAAACTTAAGCACAAATGAATTCCTCATATAAGCTAGAAGCTATGTGAGAGATCTAAATACTTGTTGGACATAATTGTGATGGTAAAAATGAATGGTGTCATATATAGGCTTAGTCAATACAACAGCCGACCTGACTATCAAGGCATTGTAGGCTTATGCTGTTTAAACATTTATAAAAATGATGCTAAAAACAGTGATTTCAAAATACTTATCAGGAGGACACTGAAGCTGTAATAATATTTTACATTTCATTACCAATAAAGATGCAGGAACGTGTGATTTTGTTCTAGGATGAAAAATTCCAAATTATTCAATGTTTTTTGTTGTTGTTGTCCAATTATATTTGAAGCGTTTAGAATTTGTTGGAGATTTGACGGAAATAATGGTAAATCTGAAGGTATGCCTACCTAGACCTTAGCATTAGTGAAGTGTGGTGTGGCAAGGAGCCATTATACTGTGGAGGAAGGTCATTGGGAACCAGCACAGTATTGGTATATCATTATGTATTTCTGTGCTCTAACACTAAATATCTTAAGTCAAATTTAAAAAAGTCCAAGTGGGTTTCTTTAGTAGGAATATAATTGTGGGCACTGGGAAATCATTTACCAACATACCTCAATGACATATATGCATGTGTGCTGGGAGTGGTATTTTGGTGTATTTTCCTCCTGGCAGTAGTGCAGTTCTGATGCTGACTTTATAGTGCTACCTCACCGAAGTACCATTGTCAGAGATAACCAGCACATTGTTCCACCCAGTCACATTATAATTTATACTGACTACGAGTTTAGTGACGTACACAGTGTTTAATCAGGTCCCTGCTACACAGTTGAGAGCACACTCAGTGTTTCTGTCGGTCTGTCCAACCATACAACTACCTAGTTTGACTCAGTGTTAATTTAAGCTTACTCTAATACTAGACTTCCAACAGTCATCGTACTTTGTATGTAGATACATCTTCCGGAGTATTACTCTAATACTAGACTTCCAACAGTCAGCGTACTTTGTATGTAGATACATCTTCCGGAGTATTACTCTAATATACATGAACCAAATATAGGTCACTGACCTATATCTGCTCTCCATCAAAATGCAAGTCGAGACATATATACGTGTTGTAAGATAATTTCTAGTTAATATTAGGTGTATGTTGAATCAGTATCAAAGAACAGAACTTAAATATTACATATGATTCTAGCCATGGTAAAGGGAGACAATTCAGTTAACATGGTAGCTGTGTAGAGGGGTTAGAGAGGGGGATACTGTATTGTACTGGTTCCCACTCACACCACAGTAATGGCCGATTGTTTATATATAGACAAGAGGAAAGCACTTTAATAGGACATGTCCATATATGGCAAATCTGTTTTCATATTGTTGTGGGAAATTGATATATTAAAGTTATAAATTAAAACAAATATTTGTTTTTGAAACTACTCAGGAATTGAAATAATTTATTGAAATAATTTATTGAATACGATTAAAAAGAAATTATTTAATTTTGTGCAAAAAATAATAATTTCTTTTTAATCGTATTCAATAAATTATTTCATTTTGTACGAAATGTGTTTGTCATAGACATGTCCTACTACTAACATATACTAACAAATATGAAAACATTGCATTTTCAGGAGAGAATATCATTTGATATGTATACACAGCTAATATTACCATATATTATTTTACAAACACGACATTTGCACAACCATTTTGGGATTTATCAAACTTACGGTTTATCACATTTTGATTTCTGTATCCTTATAAAACGTTAAGTGTTTCCTGTGTATATTAGAAAACAGGTGTAATTATACCATAGTTTATTTGTTGATTTTCACATTTTCATTTTCTGAAAAGAAAATTTCACAGAGAAAACTTAAATTTGCACACATAATCTGCCAGATAAGGCATTGGAATTCAGATAATATATTGTGGAGCCATAAATGTGTAATGTGGTAAAAAGCATCAATATAATATTTAGAAATGCCATAACTTTGATGTTGTATAATACAACACATGCAGTTATTTGGGCCACTATATGGCATAATATGTCTAAGGTTCAGAAGTAGTAATAACATTTTCCTGCCATGGGACTAAAAGAAGAAAAGTTGGATGATACAGGCCATTTGTGCCTCTTTTTACTTTTATCTCCAGTTTTGTAGCAATTGTATTTTCTTGACAGCTGTGAAAAGCATAACTTTGAAACAGAAATCTAAATGTTGAAAAATCATAGTTTCCCTGTCATGGTAAAGAACATAAATGTATGTATCTACAACTAACAAATGTACTTTTTACCCATGCTTTCCTGTGGACTGGTCGTCGCTCACAGTCATTCGTGTTGACCAACATACAGAAGAAGTATGCAAAGCTTGAGGTCAGCTATTTACCATGCTTGTACATAAGTATACACCTTTAATAGACATACATTGTATTACTGGTACTAACCTGCTTGTTAGGACTTAGCCCTTGCTAGTAATCCCCCCACCCCCCACCCC